TAATGTAGAAAATAGCTTTTAATTGTCCCAAATATTGATATCTGACTGCCCATTTAAGGGTCAAAACAACCTGTTACCATCGTGGATAAATTAATCCTGCAGTCGTACATTTTTTTCAAAAGACAAGCAGGTTCATCTGATTTCATTTTTTTACAGAATTCCACCAAAGCTACATCATCCAACCAGCTCATCCCGCTAACAATATATAATGACAATATTACTCAAGAGGTCCCTCAGTGCCCTTCTGGCTTTCAGCCTAATTCACATTTGCATTAGCCTGGATGTGATTTAGCTCTTATCTTTTATGAGTACAATGTTGTTAGGTTATGTAAATTGCTTTTTGTTCTTACAGCTTCTGAACCTCTTTACATTTATATTCTCACTGGGATGCCATCTTTAGATGAAGGGGGTCCATGATAGTGGAATCCTTCTCATTTGACAATGTGATCAGCAGCATTCATTAAGATGAGAACAACATAATACCAAGAGACCTAAAGTATAGGATTTCTTGAATGGAAAGGTTCAAACGGTAAAAATGGGCAGTTAGTTAAAGGAAGTGTTACAATGGTTTAGTTTCAAACACAGCAGGAAAATATAAGCAAGGAAATTAGAGCTGAAAATCAGAGAAATGTTTGCGTCTCCAACATGAATTTGGATAAAAATAAGCCAGAGCAATTTCAAATATTAGATATGCTCGCTGTGCACAGTGTCCTTCAATGCTCTGCTGGCTTTCAGACTCTTTCATTCATGAACATATTTAATTCTGCGTACCAGCAAGTACAATTCTTACATTATAATGACTATTTCATCAATGTTAGGTTAAAAGAAATTCAAGCCAAGAAGAGAGATGCAAATCTGCAATTAACTGAGAATTCTATTTTTTGTTCGTTCTTAATGTAATGACTTGAATGCACCGCCATTCTGTCTGATACATCAGACAAAAGAGCACAAGTCCAGCGTTTATGTTGAACTGGCTCACCTCCAGGCTTTCACTCACTGACGGTGCTCCTGTCATATCGCATGTGACAGCCTCTCTCCGGCTCCGCAGGGATAACATATTGTAGCTTCGCCTTTGGATGTACATTTATTAAATGACTGACGTTCGAACCAAACGCAAACCCCGGAATGACACTGAGGTTACGCCTGATAAGCAAATGTACTCGGTTTCATTTAAAGGTCTTCTATTTATCAAGCTGAAAAAAGAGGGATGCACTCATTTGGTTTCGGCTCATGTGTTTGTCAGATGCTGCCGCGCGATCATCCGTCTTGTGGGGATAGCTTGTGGACTGATGCGGAAAATGTATTGAAAGATAGAGATGTTGGGAAAGAGGGAAATTCCAGCTTTCCCTGTTTTCATTGGTGTTATCATACAGTAGGTGTTACATGCATGGAGCCTAGTGATTACATTTACAGTGTCTTCCTCTGGGGCTCATTCACGGCACATAAAAGAAGCAACACATTTTTTTGTTTCCTGCCATCATCTATCAAAAATACTTTTTTCTTCAGCTTGCCTTCCTCCACCTTTTTTCCCTCAGTGTCTGAGACCCAGTGAACGCGGTACCTTCTGCTGTCACTTTCCCCCGCTCCCTTTTCTGAAGTTCTGTCATCGGCAGGCTTCGAACTGCCATGTGAGTTTTACCCCGCACAATGCTCGTCTCCAGAGCTTCGCCTGGTGTGAAATCGTCAGAGCCATAGGCCACGTTTCAACACAGGGTTTTTGTACCCTGTATAATGCAGGAAGCCTGTCAATGGATTGGACACATTCGAACATGCTACCTTCAATCCAGCCAGCCACTACCTGCCTTTTTGTCCCATTTATGATGCCGCTGTCACCCTAAAAACATACAGTATATATCCAGCGATATAAAGCTATATATAATTGTATGCTTATAATATAATACATATATACTCTGCATAATGAGCATTACATTTTGCATATTTATTGACATTTAGCTGATAACAGTTTTATTTAAAATGACAATAGCAGGGATTGTGTATCATTTTAGCCACAAATCATTTACACTTTACATTACAGCTAATCATTTTACAAACTATCCCACTGGTTCTTTTCACATTTGATTGGTAGCGTTTCTTTGCATTCTAGGCATATTATCTTTTCCATACTTTTCTGTTGGTACAAAAATCAAGAAGCAGATTTTTGCCACTTGATTTATGTTGTTCAATGAACATCAAGTTGTCATAGATTTGTTATTGTCAAAGTGAAGTTGTTTTTTAGGGAAGCTCAATTATGCTTTTTGGATTTAGTCTGCATTAACATGCTTCATCCTGCAGCAGCAACAATAACATTTGCAGACAAATGTAGTTTGTTTAAGAGCCTGCTTTTTGATATTCAAACTGCACAGACATGATTGCAAACTAATGTTAGTCTGGAACAAAAACATCCTAAACAGAACAAAAATCATACATGTCTTATATTTAAAGCTGCACTACATACATCCCGATATATTATCAATGTATTGTATACCGTTTCACACAGCTATCACCTCTAGCCTTTTAGGCAGCAATCTAATCCCTTGTTAGAAAGGAGCTCATGAATAAGGTTGAAATAAGTCATTCATTTAACTTGAGCTATAAAGGTAAGGTCATTGGCTCTTTTTATAAACACATACATTATAAATATTTAGTTTCACACAGGTCATGAATGCTTACCCCCTGGGTCACTGTGTGCTGTGGGTGTTTTCTTTTACTTCACTAAAGCATCATCATTTTGAACACTGTTTTATTCCTCTAGCGGGCTCCTTAAAAAGTAGCAGATACGACCCTATGATTTGTAACTAAATAGTTTGTTGTTCCTCTGAGCTAGTTGTGCTTGTAAAACATGCATGATGCACCCCCCCCCTCGGGGTCTTCAGCAGGCCGGAGCTGTGCTTGTTAGCCTAATAACAACAGTGGCTGGTAATGACCAGGACCTCGATGAGCCTCGCGTTGATGAAGCTAACAAAAGTCCGCGCAGGAGCCCACTTCTTAGGAGAGACCTGGGGGGGAGATTTGTAGTTACTGCAGTCCTGGAACTATGCCTGTCTCTATAGGTGGGCTGCTGGTGAGGGTTTTGCATTTTAAAGTACCACTATCAATCAATCAATGTTTATTTATATTTCACTAAATATCTCTCCTTTGTTTCCCCCGGAGCAACGAGCAAACATGCTGTACTCTCTGTGGCTGTCCCTCCCGGCCCCACAGACCTGTGTAATGCTACCTTGGCTGAGGTTTTTATTTGTGTCATTTGAGGCTACTGTATCTTAAAAATACTTTGATCCTAAAATATGCTGTGTTGATGATAAGGAAGGAAGTTAATTGAATCCCTTAATATTTGTTGCCAATCTCTGCTGGCACTCTCTCAAAGATCCAAGCTGCCACCTCATTTGAACTGAGCAAACGTTATCATTCATGCACAGTGCTCATTGTTTACAAGTGGGCGATGAAACGAGGCACCCCGAGCTCACAGACGAGGTCCACATGTTTCAATTTCTCTGCAACATGAGCAATTAGCCAAGCGCTTATTAGTGTGCTCCACTCTCCCTCTCCTTTATCTGTGGATCTCCCCAATCCCTTGTGCCAGTGGGAGATGAATATGTCTTCAATGTCCTTGGTTTCCTGTCTTGTAAACACCAGAGGCACTGTTTACCGGTGTGCATGGCAGGCTAACAGTGGGCTCCGTCTCCGCCCGGCTCCCCCCCGCGGGCCGGACTCACCTTTATACCCTTTTAATTAGTAGGAGCAGTTAATAGTGCTGGCCGCTCCTGCCGCCTCAGCACTCTGCTCCGACTTCAAGAATCCCTCCGATCGATAGCAAAGAGACCAACTGAGCCCAGGAGTCTAGAAGAGGGGTGGGGGCCTTATTGTGGGAGCACATCAGGTGGATCATGATGGCTTTTGGAGAGAAATCAAACAACACACTATTTTCTTTGAACAAACCTTCGGGGTGGGTGTATCAATATCTATTTTCACTTCTTTTCCCATGTACATTTGAAGGGATAACAAGGTCTCTGGGTTCCTGATATGCATTCCATCTCGTCCAGTTTCTCCTCTCCCACATTTCCTCTCTCTTGAAAATGAATGTAATCAAAAAGCTAAGAGTTTGCTCGGCACATTCCATTGTGCCCTTATAGGCTTTTATCCCTTCCAAGCGCTGGCCCCCCGCACTCATTTCTTTTCTTGTTTTGATTTAAAGATGCAGTGGAAGTACTTAGCATTTAGATGACATGCTGCCGGAGAGGTGAGATGGATCAGCGCCTCTTCAGAAGGACTGAATTTCAGAGCGACAGATCGGGGGACGGCAGGCCGGGGGGGGGGGGGCCGCAGAATACCAAGTACAGCTCGCATGCAGCACACAGCCTGGCACAGAGAGCAGGGGCTGCTGGGAATGCCAATGTGCAGCCCAGACAGCCGTCTCGCCTTACCTCCACTGATTGGCTAAACAGACCATTAGCTTCGTGATTATGATTAGCCGAGTCATTATCTACACAAAAGTGGCTCATTCACCAATATTAAGAAGGCAAGGGAGCTGTTTCTCTTCCTCCGGTCAGGGGGAAAACAATGCGTTTTCATGTGTTCTTCAGATGAATGTAGGAGGCAAGAAGTTATTGTTCACAGAGAAACAAAGTGGAACACTGTGTATCACCCTGCCCTACAGCTAATGGGATAAAAATGTTCTGTCCATGTGATGGCGTTGAGGGAAGAAAAGAAAAGGTCTCTCAGTCGTTAATGCGGATGATGAGGTGGCCATTACTCGCTCGTATTTTCTGGTCGGGGAGAGAAGCGGCGTCCTCAGAGGTCATAAAAACTGGGGAGGGAACAAAATAACCTTCAGTTTCCATCGCCTCGCCTTAGATATAATTGGAAGACAGGCCATCTATGCTTTTGAACGGACACATGCTGCTCTGCATCCAAGGCCAGTACGCTGAGGCAAAGTTGAACAAACGTTAGTGAAGGCTGGCCCTCTGTTCCTCCGATGCTGACCTTGTACTTCTCTCTTGCAGCCTTTGCCCAAGGAGCCGTCGTAGGATGTGGAGAACACGGCAAGTACGTACTTTTTTCCCATTCTGTACCCTCATTTGCATAAAAAGTGTATAACTCTCACTTTGACATACAAGCCACCGAAGACATTTTTGATTGTAATATCGCATAGAACCCTGAAATAATGACTCTTAAGGGAGACTGCAGAAGCCATGCCTAAATTGCAAGTAGTATAAATGTTCAGTGTAGCTTTGACCTGGAATGAGTCAGCCATTAGTGTGTGTTGATATGTATATCGCAGTACTGCTGAGCTCAAATAAAGATCATCCAGGAAATGGAGAAGACATGTTTCTCAGGATGTCGTAACTTTGATGATGGAAAAGCCAAAAAAAGTAAATCAAAGGGGGTTGTTGAGCGTTTTCAAATGCGTAAGGATGGAAAGTAAAAAGCCCCACTGTGCTAACATCAAAGGGAGAGGTTACTTCAAGTGTCCAGGCTTTCTTTCAGGACAAAGGTAGAAAACTGATTTGAACTGGAGCATTCTTCACAAAAGCAAAGACCACAAGAAGGAGCCTTTTAAGAATCCTCTTCAACTGTATATGCCAATTCCAACAAAGTCCTAAGATGTGTGTGTCTGCAGAAGTCAATACTAAAAGTCGGCAGGAAATCTAGAATCTGGCTCGCTCTTCTGGCAACTTCCACAAACAATCTGTTCTCTAAAAAACAAGGAAATCTAAAGATGAAACTAAATTCCTCTCCCAAAAACATTGACTGAGTATCTGTTAAGCTTTTTATATTCTGAGAAACCACGGGCATTGGGAATCTGCATGCCATATGTCTCCCAGCCAATACTCGGAGATTGATTTTCCCTCTTCCACCGAGAAAACAAAATGAATCACGCACAATTACCAAGGACAGGGAGAAAGGGGGAATTGGGGGCATCATAAATATTTATTTGCCAGCCCTGGGAATTTGTGCAATTCTGTGTGGATTTGCCAACTCATACTTAAGTGTCTGAATGATTTATATGGGCAGTGGGTGTCACATTTGTCCACTGTCACCGTGAATCATTTATGGATTAACATTTATGGATTTATCCATATAACATATTCATGGCAAAGTTCTAGTATCATTCAAATGGATTTCTTGATCAAAAGATTGGTTAGATTAAGTCATTAGCTTCAGGATTTCTTTGGAGGTGAAATGTATTCCATGTGGAAAGGAACCCAGTAACACATACAGGTATGGACCAATCCTTTTGCAGAATCATTCATAACATTTGCGATAATGGAAGTCAAATAAAGCCATTTTCAGACTTGCAATATGTGGAATTGCTTGTTTTATACATCTGTTTAAGTCATGGCTTTTTGTCAATCAGATATATGTCCATTATGCAAATGTCTTTCGGACCCTAGAGAAAGGGGCGCAACACTAGCTCCCTATTTGGCACTTCAACTGCAACTGGCAATTCAACAAACAGCGTTGAGACAAAAAACGAATATCAAAGAAGGAAATAGTTTATGCTCTCATCACCGCTGGATTTAAAAAGCTGTTTTGTGGCTGAAGTCTTCATTAATGACCTTCAAGAGTGTTGATGGCGTACAACCTTCCCTCAGTGAAGCTCTTCATAATATTTGTCATTAATTTATGCATTTATTAGATAAAGTTCTGCTTGTTTTATAATCTCCAACAATGCACATGCAGAGAATCACAAGATGGTAATTTTGGGCTCATTTAATTCTTAATTAGCACACATGCTGTCTGTAAAGAGTTTTGCAGATGAAAATTGAAAATACAAAGAGGGGGTGCTGGGCTGGTTATTACTGTGTTGATGTTGTGTTTTCTCATCCTGCACCGTGAGGGTAAAAAAAAGATAATAGTATCCTCAACAGCTTCAAATTGGCTCCTTCAGTGTTTCATGGTTTATTAAATTGAATTTATTTTTGATTTAAAAAACAAGAGGAAGCGCTTCCTGGATCTGACAGTAATGTAACAAAACAGGTGCAGTTAGGCAATTGACGTCTACAAAACAACTCGCAAACAGACTTTATTACAGTGAATCATTGTCTTTTTTTTTAATAAGAAATTATAAAGTGTCACCCACAGGCTAGAGTGCATTAGATCTCTGTGCATAGTTCACCTTGTTTTGCGTTGCAGTAGCAATCACGTTACCTTATGTGGTGGTTTTCAATGCAGAGTTATGCTACGGAAAGTGATACCTAAGTTTGACTTGCTAAGATACCTATCGTGACTTTTACATAAAAATTACCGGTCATTGTTCAGATGTAAAAAAAATGCACAAACAACTTAGTCTGGAAGAGGTTTACAAAACATTATTTCATCTCATCTCTTTTTTCTCCATTGTTCTGCAGGGTCATCGGCTTCCTGCTACAAAAGGTACTGAGACCAATCACTAAACCAGAACATTGTGTCCATTCTCTTATGAGACTCTCAAACTTTGCAACAGGTTTTAACCTTCAGTAAAAACAAATATGTATAAAAGAACTCGCAGACATTTCTGAGAATTCTGAGAAGTCTCCAGTGAGAGGCATGGTACACCATCGGCTTTGAATCTTCACCGCGAACCCTTGGACACGTCATCGAACAACATTCCTGTGAGGAACTTTCATCAACGGGACGTGGAATAATTGACTCATTCATTACATTGACTTTTTGTTGCCCTTGATATCCAACATTAGGTCTGCAGGGGACGCCTCCTTGAAGATTTTTCGTACCTTTGTGGCTTGATCTGGACTTTTCAGAAGGTCTTTCAGAAGTCGGCCCCTTCTTCTTCTTAACTATCTCGATACGAAGCCGTCCAGTGTTATATTCCAGCCAAGTTTTGCCAATGACAGCTTGCTGCTAAAGACACTTTTATGAGGTTGAGCCAGACTGTATTGCCCACTGTATTCTCTCACTCATTTAGCTGGGTAGGACTTTGCACTGCATACACACAGGACGGAACATTGTGCAAAAAGCATGAAAGTCTATTGGAATGTCCCAGAAGAGACGACGGAGATGAGTTGACTGTCTTGAGTGCCAAATGTGGACATTTTGGACAACTTAGCGTATAACTTATGTTTTTTATGTGGTGCCAACATAGAGTAGAATAGTAGTTTTTGTCAATGAACCTCACACATCCTGGACACACACCAACGGGAGCATTCAGCAGATGTGGACCCCTGGCTCGTTTGAATGGTCTAAACCTGCGTGTGTGCATGTTTGCATCTCTCAATGTGTGAATATGTATGTGTGAGTCTGCGTGCACATCCAGAGAAACACTGTTAAATAAGTCATATCCAATGCATTATTCATACTCTTGTATATTTTTGGGACACGCCCAGTCCAGGGCTCACCATCTGGCCGGAGAACAATGTGTGATTTTACAGATGATGGATTGCATTTGAATGTTCAAGGTTGAATCCTGTGTTTGACTTTATTTTGTGTATTTTCTTTAGTACAAAGAGATATTTATGATGGGGGGGGGATATAATTGAAACTAGGGAAAGAGCTGCAGTATGTCACACAAATTAAATTCTGTAATTAAAATCAATTCATGCGTGATTAAATGTATTCAGAATCCTTGTCTAAATGGACTATATTTTGATATGAAATGTTTTGGCCAGCTGGACGTGCTATTTGCTGGTTTCAGATGCTTGATATACTTGAAAGGATTTGTGTAAATATATATATATATATATAGAGATTCAATTAATGTGTTTTATGTTCTGTGGGTCTCATCTCAGGAGCACAAAAGGCATTCTTCTGCAAGAGGTGGACACAATAACATGAACACCAGTAAGATATCTCAAAAAAAATAAAACGCAATACTACAATGTGTATGAAGATTAATGTACATCCTAAAGTAAAACAATATATCTGTTACTTTTCCAAAGATAACAATAGATTGCATAATATTTTACTGGTGTTTTTGTCAGTATGTCGCCACCCTGTTTTCCTTTTCTTTGTACTAAAACATTATGTACTCTCCATCTTAATGTATGCATTTGAGGATATAAAGAGAGCGTCCGCTCCCGAGAGCTGCAGAGTGTGTATTTAGTGTGTGAGTGTGTATGTGAGGGTTTTTCAGGTCAACAGTGGTTTGTGTGGTAAGAAAATGGCAATTTCCACCTGATCCCATACCTTTGATTTCATGTTTGCTTCTCTGGTTTGAACTCACCGTGAATGAATTGTCCCTTTTTGATTTGAGACACTTTAATGAAGTCACATTCAACAGGGCAGTGGCAGATTAGTAACAACAAATATCTGGACCTCTACTTGTGTTAAATATCAATATGATGTGCATTTATAACAGCACATATCATCAAACTAAGTTCTGCAAGCACTGCACTGCTGACTCTCGGAGGGAGTGTCATGACTAAAAATGCCTTTTATGGTCCTCAAACGTCTATATAAATATGTTATACTTTTAAGCTTAGCTTGAACTACAATACCACAGGCCAATTATTTCCAAAACAGGGACAGAGCAAAAGTATCCGAGACAAACGAACAACGTTTTCTTGTGAAGAGTAAAAATGAACACTTTCTGTCAATCCCATGTGTATGATGTATTATAATGTAGTAGTTAGTGCATAATGCATTTAAACAGCATATTACATTGCATAGTTGCCTCATGCCTTCATGTAAGGGATAATCCACAATGTGGCGTGCAGTAATTGAAGAATAACACACAGAGGGCTGGAAGTAATACTGTATATCACACACAGTGTCTTGCATTATATTTTACAACTGCACAATGTATCGTGGATTTTACTACCACGTGTACCATTAACGTACTTTTCAAAACTAAAATCTTGGTTCACCGTAAAATAATCTTGGAATAAACACAATTGTACTACTCTTAACATGAAGGAGAAGCCGCTAGGAACCACTTCCAAACAGGCCAATTATACCTTCATTTTGTCTATAGCTATTTCATAAAAATGTGGTAATTTAATGATTATAATGTTTGCTTTACTCCATTTGCAATGACATTTAAATGTTTTCATTTAAATGGTGATCGTGTTTGTGTTGTTTGGGAACACTTTTAACACTAGTTAATTAACCATAAGAGAAGATAGCATAACCTTTACTCATTCGGAGCAAAGTTGGCGGAATACATTTGAATTATAAATACATTCTTACTTTGGTTTAGATTCATCGACTTTCAAAGATATTCACTAGAAACCAACAAAAGAGGAAAAAACAAATGCCAACTATGCTTTTGTGTAACATTATCAATGCTTGCTACAGTTTTTTAAGGACATAACAGAAATATTTGATGTAAGGAAGGTGAGAATCCAGCCTGCATCATGGCTGTAGAACGTCGGTGTCCTGTGCCAGTATTCCCACTCAACTCCTACTGGGTTAGAGATGTTCTCTCAACGAGTCCGGGCTGCTGCCCCCTTTCATTTTGAATGTCTGTCTTGCTGTTCTCTGGGTTTTTAATGTGGGCTGCACTCAGGATCAACAAATGCTACGAAGGTGGTGTGAGCTGAAAGGGCTGAGCTGTCATAGCACGCTATGAGCAAACTTTAGGTACACAGTAAGAAACATAATTGTCTTTAGACCTCATTGTTATCTCTGATGCAAATACGGTGATTTAGTAGCGGTAATACCTGAACTTATAAACATTATTTTTGTAATGCCTTATGACTTTATAGAAAACATACATTAGATTGAAAACACTTAGAATGTCTGATGCATCATACATGAACAGATTTTAGGGGCATTATAGCACTTCTTTCCTTTTATTTACAAAAAAACTCCTCAAACGAAGCGTGAACTTACTGGTTAGAGAAGTAAACCAAATGTGGGAGTGCCTAAAACCTGCATTCTCTATAATATCCAGCAGGTGGTGATTCGTTGGTCTAAGAACAAGTCTGTTTGCAAAGTATAGAAGTCTATGAGAAAATGCCCCTACCTTTCACTTGATTTATCACATTGGTTATTATTATAAAGATAAGTTCATGGTCACAATCACTATATTTTGGGTGCAGCGTATATGTAAGGAGTTTGGTCACAAACAGCTGTTATGTCATTGGTTGCTCTTTGAAAGTATAGCAGCCTTAACCCTAACCCTAAATTGTCTTCGGTGTTTGTTGTAATACACCCATTGGTTTCATGTATGGTCACAAAAGAAAAACAGAAGGCCACAGCTAAAACACCAAACTGATTATTCCTGGAGAAATAATTGAGAAAATACAACAATAACCAAGTATCATTTGTGTTGTAAATGTTCATTAAAAGAGTACTGTTTGTTCTAATATGTTTTAGAATTGTGGATGGATAGACACAGCAAATTGTGGTATGGGAGCCGAATTTCAACTGAAAATACAGAGTCTGTATGAGAGCTACACGCCTTCTCAATTTTAACAGTTTGTGTCTGTGTCAATCCGACATAGCAACAACCATCATGCAACATAATAACACCTGACATCCGATTGGCTCCTGTCTTACAGGGTGCTTTTCTGTTTTAGTAACTGTTGAAAAGTAATTGAGTCTGTCTACACGTCTACACCATGTCTTTGCCCTGTTCAATAAAACCTTCAGCTGCAGGATGGACAAGTATTTTAGCACTGCCTTCATTGTATTTATGTTTTGCCACTGAGTCCCCCACATCCACAATAGATCCCTGGCTGGGCCTAATAAGACACAAACACCCCCCCGAGGCTCAGCCTGGCTTGCTAAACACAGCGTTGTCAAACAGCGTCACAGTGTAGTGAATTAGCATTTATGCCCACATAAAAATCAATTTACTGATCCATTAGCTTAGCATAGTGCTAATGAGTTGCCAGTGATGACCCGCAAGGGACTTTGGTTAGCAAGCGGATCGTCATTAAACGTAGTCACATACAGGCAGGCCCGGTTCCAGAACAAAATGACTCAGGGTGCATCTGAGATTAAAGAGGGTGCAGTGGTAAAGTGCTATTTGTATAAGTGGGGAGTGGACCTAACACCCTCTGGGGTCCTCACCTCCTCTAGGGGGGGTCCGGGGGCATGCTCCCCCAAGAAGATTTTTTTTTAAATATTGAAGTTAAAAGCATCAATCTGGTGCACTTTGAGAGCAAAATGAAGAGATCTATGGATATATGTGCTCTTTGCTTGATTCATGCCTTCTAAGTCCCTTATCACGTAGCCCAGTGGTTTTCAAACTGTGGGGTGCGACCCCTGGTGGCTTGCGGAGGTACTGTAGGGGGGGCACGGGGAGATTTTTTTATTTGATTATTTTCTCCTTTTAGCTTTGTGAAGCACCTTGAGATGACGTTGTTTTTAAAGTGTGCTATATAAATCAAATGTATTATTATTATTCAATTGTAAACAAACACTGCTCGAAAATATCTCATTGGTCAGAGAGCTGTGGGCATAATGCTGCCTTTTGCAACATCCTACTTGTGTGACATAGGCTTTTCTGCTGTTGCTGCCATCAAAACGAAAAGAAGCTGAATATTGAGAATGAACTGAGAGTGGCAGTCTCAAAACAACAGCCTGGGTTTGAGAAGATCTGCAAGGGAAAGCAAGCACACACAAATCATTGATAGGCCATGTGTGGAAAAGGAATGGTAAAGTGATGTGATCGTTTGCAACCTGCAGTAGAAATAGTAGTTAATTCATATATTTTCCTTAAACAAATTTGAATTTAAACATCTATTACTCAGAAGGCCTACTAGCTTTAATTAGGCTAAATTAATTCACAGTATTTATTACAAGCACTTTTGTTCATGTGTAATCCATAATAAAATATAAAATGATAGTTGGATCTTTGTATCTTATTATTATTAGTAGAGAAAATGTAATGTTTTTACAACAATATACAATTAAACCAATATAGATGGGAACCAGGTTGGGGGGTCCCGAAAATATTTCCAATTACCCAAGGGGGGCCCGACTGAAAAAGTTTGGGAACGACTGACGTAGCCTATAAGAGCATGGCGCCAGTTGTTGTAGCCATTTGTGGTGAAGGCATCTGACTTACTTGAACCGAAATGTCTACATGCATAGCAGAAGATGGCATCTTTTTACATGAATATTCCAGCCAATCTCTGTTTTGAAACCATGAGCTGCAAAATGAGCGCCTTACCCCACTGTACAGGCGAGTTGGGTACTTTTTAAAATATACCTGGGCAGGCTCTGTTTTGCCGAGGTCATCTGGCACTTGCGGGCCGCTGAGGGGTGGCGGTGTTTGGGGCAACGAAGACGGCTGCGGCTGCTCCGCCTCCGTGGGCGAGGTGGGCAAAGCCGGCAAGTCGGGCGTTAGTGTCCACATGATCTGAACTGTTACCTGCAGTAGATGCAGTGTTACTGCTGGCGATAAGGGCTGGTTGTTTTAGCCATTTTCTGATGTCCATCACTGACTGCTGTGTAAGCACCTTGCAGATGACGAACGCGCAGCGGCACAGGTCACTAAATTATTCTTCTTATTATTATTACTACTATTATTATTATATATGTGATATTTTTCACTTTTTTTTCAAAATGAGGGTGCATAACGACTCAACTGAGGGTGCAATGCACCCTTATGCACCCCCGTAGAACCGGGCCTGCATACAGGGCAACAGCTTATTCCATTTAAAGTGAAGATGCCTCATCTGTAACTAGTACTAAGTACTAACCCTTCTGTTTTCAATACGTGTCATTGATCATTTTTTTAATTTTCTTTCATCTCTTCTCAAATTCAGCCCAGACATCTGCATGTTTGCCTTGTTGGAAAGCGAATTGCTGCTGTCACATGAAATCTATTGTACCATCCTTCAAACTAACCATGAGGAGGCGGCTGCACTCAACAATTACAACCAGCTCCAGATAAGCAGAGCAGCACTGGCTTCAGAAAACTCTTCATCCATGGTAAGTGAAAGGTAGAACACAATCAAAGGTACAAATGGACCGAGCCCTGAGCAGCAGCTTGTATCGACCGAGAGATTTCTGGAGAGATTTTTTTACATTTATATTTTCCTGGCCCTTGCTCTGTGCAACAACCCTTCAATGTCAAATTCTGCTAAGCTGAAGGTATGCACTATGCGGCACCGCGCTATACCCACTTGACACAGATGAATGTAAAGAGCAGACATTCAGCGTAATTAACAAATGTCATTCACACCGCTGAGAAATGTCCTTTGATAGAGGGAAGCAGGCAGTATGATGTCAGCGTTATCCGATAATGATTCCTTGCTGCCAAACGCTTTCAGTCCATGGAAGGGGAGTTAGCTCCGGGGGGAGATGAAGGTATAAAATGGTCGTTTTGCTAGAGCAACACAAGCTAATTTATCATTCTCCAGGGGTCAGGCGACGCTCCCCTGGTTGTGAATTTTAATGTTGTTTTTTATGGGTCTTAATAAACTCTATTTTGCTGCGAGCGTTTATGCAGAAGAGCACAACATCCTTCACTCGGCTCATTTAGTGAGTCAAGGAGAGAAGGGCCGGAGCCAAATTTAACCAATGGAGTCATCATTTTCTTACACTAATAGCACGCAGTGAGGTGAAATATTCAAGGTGATGGAAAGAAACGGTAGTTGTTCACATGTTTTTTGAGATCCTTGATGCACAGTTGTAAGATTGTGCATGCTAGATAATACTAATTCATCAGAAGAAGAAATATTTCAACAGTGATGTACCGGCTAGCGTTATATACTGTATCAGAATTAGGCTTTATCTGCAGCATCAGCCTAACACTCCCAATGTTCTTGCTGTTTTTAGCCATGCTAGCTAACAGACATTGCCATCAAGCCAACATGTCTCGACTTCTTTGTTCTATACAAAATTATCTCAATAACTACTGTGTGGATGGCCAGGGAATATTGTACAGACTGTTATGGTCCCCAGAGGATAAACTCTAATCACTTTGATGGTCCCCTGACATCTTCTCTTGATCAACCATGAAACTTTTGGATAGTTAAGTGTCTCGTCAATAGATTGGCGGAAATTATGTACAATCATTCATGTCTCCGTCAAGACGAATAGTAAAAAAAGCTTTTGAACTTTTAGCCAGCTGCATGGCAGCATTTTAGGACTAGGCTTCATTTTTTTTCAACAATTTACATTGCTTACTATTCCATTTTACCAGAGAAAGGGTGTTATAGGGCAGCTACCCAAAGCTAATGGTGAATTATCTTAAAGTGCCACTGCCTCTTGGGAGGCCCTGAAAAGGGAAAGACAGGGGTCACATTTTACCATTTACCCATTTACGCAGCAGGAAATTCACTGTGATGAGGGTATGGATCTCCATGCTGGCCTACTGACTTGTTCATCGAATTTTTAAATGTTGATTGGCACAATTTAACACCGAGGTTAATTCATCACATGATTGCTTCCTGCCACATCTGTCTCACTGATCCCCAGCCCTGCATGAAGACAATTAACCCGCCTACTGCTGAGCAGCTGAGTTATTTATGCAAACGCTTATTGCCTTTGGACTCAACAATGGCTACTCGTCTCTGGTACCCTCACAAGAGAACATCCAAATGTCACAGAGGACACTGGGTACTCTGAGTGTAAAGAAAATGACACATTTTGTTTTATTAGGGCAACAACAGACAGAAGTAACAGGCACAAAATCAAGTGCAGAGACTAATTAGATGTCGGCACTCAGCATTTAATCAAATGTGATTCTTTAGGAGAAATGCGTCTCTTATGACTGAGGGAATACACGACACTGGGGCTACAGAACGTTAATTATGTTATTGTGTTGTCGATTGAAGAAGTGGTTGCGTAAACAATCTAAAAGATTAAAGATGGCAATATTCTATGTTTTTCCATTTGACAAGGAATTACATAAAAATGCCAAAAAGCCAAGAATGAATTGATCATTTAAGTAATTAGAGACTAAGAGATAAATAGAGACTATTTAGTCACTAAGAGCCAATGGCAGACAGAGGGAATTCCAGATACTATTGACATGGGTTTTTTTGTTGCTGTTCCTGTCCCATTTTTTCCCCTTAAACTGTGGGTTTTCTCTGGAAGTTTTTCCTTGTACGATGTGAGGGTCTAAGGATAGAGGGTGTCGTTTTCCTCATACTGATATTCTGAACAATCTGTGCTGTTGTATTTCCTGTAAAGTGTCTCTACTGTAGGCTATTTGTATTATATGTACAGCACTTTGGCTCGACCAAAAATTGTTTATAAATGTTTATAAAACTTGATTTGATTTGATTTGATGGGTTTTTTGTGTTTTCATGGGATTTATTCTTAGCAAAAGCTATAAATAATTTCAGCCTTGTGATTTAACTTGTTTGCAGAATAATGGTTCATAATTGTAAATAATGTATCATGGAATCTATTGTAACCATAGCTATTTCTGTTACCATTACAAAGTAGGTGGAGATTGAATTGAAAGAAAAATAAAAGGTTTTTATTCTCATCATTATAATCATTATCCCATGGTTTCAAAATAAATATATCCTCAATAAATGTCACGCTCACAGGTACAGATCAGAACCCAATAGCACCACACAGATACAACCAGTGTTCAGAATGTTCAGTTTAATCGGGTCAGGGACAGGCAGGGGTCAAAACCAGGAAATCCAGCAGTCAGGCAAACAAATCCGAGAAGGGGCAGGCAGAACAGGGCTCAGAAC